GCTTGGTGAACGAACCGGGCAACTGTGGCGAAATAATAGCCGTCGTGTACGAAGTCACGAAAAGAACTCAGGAGATGCTGTTCGCCGATTGGGCACAATAATACAAAGCATTTTTTGTGCCCAATCAGGAGCCAGCATTCGCTTGACCGTTTGGAAATGGTCCGGTGAGAGTCGGTACCCAGGGGCTCTTCCGCCCATGCTTGAAAACTTTCGTCGCGCCTTTTAACCCGGCCCGACTGACCGCCCCTGGGTCTCCGAGGATGTTTTGCAATCTAAACCTAATGCATTTTTGACGTTCTTATTGCCGTCGCCGTCGTCATTGTGTAAACTACCTAACACACATCCCAGCAGGATATGTAAATCTGGTGAAGCTTTCTTTCAGTGCAAACCCTTGAGAAAATGTGTCGGATAATCGGGAGTTTAAGATGTCACCATGGCGATGGAAACGAGAATGTCAAAGGAAAAATCCGTTTAGGTAACCAAAACGACAACTTTGCACTTGCACCACGCAATTTCTGTACATTTCTTTGAGCACTGCACGACTTACAATATGAAATTGTCTAATGTTAACGTTTTATTGACAACGTAACCATACGACGACAAATTACTCTTTCTCTTAAAAAACCCGAATATTTTCTTAAAAATTCAAATCCAGGAGATCTCATTAACACTAGAGAAAGTAAGCGAGCTGAGATAATTGCGTAGAAGTTTGAAGGAGAATGCTAAGTCACTTTTCAATTGATGCTATCGCCGGCGTTACCGTAAATATTGGTATCTTTTTGGTTTCCTATTCTCGGTTTTCACTGTCACGCAATCAAAAATAAAATTGCAAACCATTCGATACAGAAAGTCCCGAATCTTGGAAATAAAAGAAGATAAATAAGAAAAAGACCTTGCCAAGAATCAGGTCTGTGCGATATTTCATATGCGAGATATTAGGAAAAACGTTTTACCCAAATTTATAAAGCTTTGTATGGAGGCGCCATGTTTGTGTCCCTTTGAGGGGCACAAATATGGCCGCCGGAAACAAACAGAAACATCTGTTTTTGAGTTTTCCTACTAATGCGTTAATTCATCGCTTAAAAAACTCATAAACTATTAAAGTGATATTTATTCTGAGAGAAGGAATGTTTAGATAGCAAAATCTCCCAAAACTGGTAATGTTTTTAACCCACAGAAGAGCAGTCCCGGCCGCCAGCTAAATGCCGCGTCACGCAAAAGCCTAGAAATTCAAACGTCCTCTATCGCAAAACGAAGAACCCTTTCGAACCAAACCTCTGTTTAAATAAAGGTGTTTAGGTGCTGTAATACCTCATGAAACTCAGAATCTCAGAAGAATCGATAGTTTCTTAGTTTGAATTTTGATGACGTCATGTGAAAACCACGAATAGATAACATCAATATCTATAGTTTATTTGCCCAATAAGTAAAACTAAGGAGCTCGTTGAAATTCGTTTAAACAGGTACATGCAATCATTGATTGGAATTAATTATAATTAACCAAAACCCTAAAGAAATTGTTGACGAATAAAACAATATTTGCATAGAGTACTAAATGATGACGTCATAAAAATGAAATTTCTGAAATTATGGGATTTGTCAGGATCTTCTGAAAGAAGAATGTCTAAGAGGCCTACTTGCCAAAAATGAGTATTTCGGGGCAAATTGTCGCTGAGATGTTAGCCGTTTATACTCAGAAAACTCGATTCAAACCCTTCTAATTTTTTGGGGGGTCGACCCAAAACAATTTAGAAGGGTTTGTATGCAGTTTTCTAAGCATAACTGATGGGCTACGATCTCAGAGACAATTTGCCCCGAAATGCTCATTTTTGGCAAGTCGGCCTCTTGGAAATTGTTCTTTCAGAATATCCTGACAAATCCCATAATTTCAGAAATTTCATTTTTATGACGTCACATAATGCAACTGAAATAATCCATTGATGACCCTTTTCTGAAACCTTTGATGCTGGTGTCATGTTCTACAGGGGCCCGTTTCTGGATAGTCTCGGTAACGTTTCAGGCCCGGAAACCCGTTTTGTGTTCGCCGTGTTTGCATTCACGATCAAAGTTTCAATAATTTTGAAAATGATACAATAAAACTATCAGTTAACAAAGTAAAATTGACAAAATTGTGAGCTAAGAACTGTGCTACTATGCTATAGGTTTGGATTTTAAAATTTTCCTTCGGGCCAGAATAGTTTCCGGGCCTTTCGAGAAAGTCGAAACGGGCTCCAGGGCTAGAAGAATCTTGAATCCAGTTTGTCCTTTATTCGGGTAAGCAGCTCCCACATGTTGGTTGCACGGGGTTACTCAGTTGCACGTCTTAGTTAATTATTTGGTTATAGAAGATGACTTACTTAGACCTTCAGCCATTGGGCTAGTCAAGAGCTATAATGGCCATTAGCTAGTGAATTTTAAAAGTTACTTGCCCAGCAAGAAAGTCTACCTGTCCCGGATGACTGTACGGGAGAATTTAGAGCCCTGGGGCCCGTTTTTCGAAAGTCCCGGTAAATTTCGGGCCCGAAATCAAATATTCAAATCGAAATAATAAAGAATAAGAGCGCAAGTCCTGACTAGCAAACTACTCCATTTTGTTTCACTAACTGATAGTTTTATCATGTTAGATACAAAACTATTGAGTCCTCTATCTTGCATGTAAACCAAAATAACTTTATGGACCCGTTAACCCTTGGACGTACAGGTGGGAGGGGAAGGGGTGGATGCCCCCCTAAGGTTTTTTTTTAGTTTTTTTCCAAGAGGATAAAACATCAGCACCTGACGTTTTCAGTAGCTGTTTGTTCATCCCTCGCGCACATTTTGAGACAAGCTTAGTGATTGTCAGTTGCTATGGTTATGAGATATGTCGTCATAAGTAGCAGGTGGTCAAGCTATTTTTGGGTGAAAATACAAGTTTTTTTTAACTTCTTTCAACAATGAAAGTAAATCTTGTGGCTTAAATCTTAAGTGCTCATTTATGTGTTATTTTTCATGTAAAGCACAAAAAATTACTATTTCTCGCAGTTTTGACCTGATTTCTAATTCAATACTGTAGATATTATCCTTGATTTGAATAACATGCAAATCAATATATGTATAACTCTCTATTTTTCAAATAATAATAATAATAATAATAAATGTCTTTCTTTCTCATAAGATAAAAACTACATATCTTTTGCATGTCACATATTTTTAACAGCAAGAAAAGAAATTAAATAATAAAAATAGTAACTTGTTACATATTGAGTTGAGTTATGTCTATAGATAAGTCTATTGATAAAAGTATTCTTAAAACGTTCTGTATTAATAACTGTTCGATAGCGCTATTTTTAACTTATAATTGATGACCTTAGGCTTAGGGACCTGCTCACGTAGAGGGTGGATGCTAAGTTAGGGATGATTAGACCTTGAAGGATTAGCTGAGTCGCAAGAGCGCTTGACTTCACATCGGGTGGTCGTGGGTTCAATTCCCGGGACCGTACCCGATTCAAGGACTTTATGAATAACTGAGAGTCCCTTTGCACTGCAAGCGGCTGAACCTTCGGGTGGCTGGGATGACCACGTAAAATGACGGTCCCGTCTCCAGTAGGAGAAATAAAAATAATGTCCCCAATGAGCACTTTCGACTTCTAAATACATTGACACTCAAATAAAGTGCTTTTTTTTCTCTCATTCTCTTAAGTGCCCTTTATAGTGTCAAGGTATTCTACTACGACTTTTAACAAGAATGTTGTAGTGGCGAAAACAAGTTACCAAATATTAGAACTGAGTTTTAACACCTAATTTTGCGATCGGGAGGGGGATTAACTTCCTCCAACGAAGATTTTTAGTGGAAAAAAGTACAATGAAGCATTCGAATAATTTTTGTTTTTACTGAGTATGTCACTGATATACTATAAAGGAAAATAAAGGGAGATGTAAAGAATCAACCATAAGAGGACACAGAAAAATCAAAAAATCTGAGCCCCAGATGGGATTCGAACCCACGACCCTCCGTGTTCTAGCTCGGATGCTCTGACCTCTGAGCTACTGAGGACTCGCCAACGAGATCTGGGGCTCAGATTTTTCCTGTGTCCTCTTATGGTTGATTCTTTACATCTCCCTTTATTTTTCCTTTATTGAGTATGTACAATGGAAATGCATATTTTCAAACAATATTACGGTGTGTGTGTCCTATGTCAAACCAGTAAAACAGATTACTTTTCTTTGACATTCGATCGCAATAACATCTGCGCATGCGGTGATTACTAAAGGTCGATAGGAGGTGATCTCATTATCAAATTTAAGCTAGATAATATTTACTGTGACGTAAAATTTTATCGCCGAAAAATGTTTGCAGTATTTTTTTTGCAGGAGCCTATTTTTTAGGGACCACTGGAAAATCGCAAAAATTGGAACCCCAAAAAATTCGGCCACACGGTATCTGAGTTCCCGTTTACCGAATAAAAATGACTAAAACGTGGGGTAAATTATAAGGGAAATTGTATCACTATCCACTGGATAGCGTAATTGGTTTTTCTAATTCTTATCAATAGATAGTGCTATCCATCTTTTGAACAATCGGGCCCTGACTGTAATATGATGGGTGACCAACAAATAGCTATCACAATCTAGTTTGAGTTGCACACAACAACTTAAAGGCAGGTTTCAAACCTCCACGACTAGGATGAAAGAGCTAAGTTACAAAGAAAACAGAACTTAAACATTATTTCTTACAAATGTTTATCTTACTTCATCTTCACTTAAGAATGACCATAAGGTCATTAAATTGGGGACTTCTGGCCCCGGTTGTTCAAACGTTGGATAGCGCTGTCCACCGGATAAATCACTATGCGGCGGATAAGTATTAAGGAAATCAATTGCGTTATTTGATGGATAGATTTTAATCCGGTGAATAGCGCTATCCAACTTTTGAACAACCGGGGCCAGAAGGAATGCCATGGCAACCAAGACAGTTGCAGCTTCGAGTGGGGGTGCAGTCGTGTTAATCCTAGGCATTTTGCAGAACTTTTCGTATCTATGATGACGATGGCTCAAAGAACATGAACTTTGAGGAGTTTAAACAAGGTCTTAAAGATTATGGACTTGATTTGTCAAATGAGGTATGGACTGCGATATCATTTTACACTTTTATTGCCTTTTGATGTAAAAAGTAATTCAGCAGAAAAAAATCCTAGTAAAAATGTTCTTTCGCAAATGATTAAGACGGTACCCATTAGGAAATTGAAATTTTAACTTTCAGTGGACAAAAAACCTTTTTTTAAGAATATTTCAAGCCATATCGCATTCCTTTTTACACTTTTCAAGGGCTATAGATGTACCGTAATTCGCGTAAATCCTCTATTAAGCCCCCCGGGGGGCGTATTTTTTTCAAGCACTTTTTAGGAGGGCTTTATAGAGAGGGGGGCTTATTCAATTTGGCGAAATGCATCAGCGGGAGCAAGGTTTCTCGACGACGGACTTGTGGTTCCAGGGCGTTATACTGCTTTTTCTAACAATAAGAAAATGGCAGCAATAGAGCGTAAAGTTGAAAAAGTTAAGCACATGAAGCTGGAGGTCATGTGGCCGAAGACCAAAAACAATATGAACTTCCAGCCTGAATAAACCATAACTGATCAGTACACGTTAATTGTTTGCGAAGAATAAGAATGGAGGGGAGGGGGGAGGGGGGGCTTAATAGAGAGGGGGGCTTATTAACTTCCCTCCTATAAAAAGGGGGCGCTTATTAGAGAGGAGGGGCTTATTTGAGGGGGGGGGGCTTAATAGAGGATTTACGGTAATTAGCTATCTGTAATAACACCAAAGATGATCTCTTACCGAAGCCCGAGAAAATAAATCTCAAAGTTCACAGGAATTGAGAAAACACAGGTAAAATCGTTATCCATAAGATTTCATTTTGTGGAATTTGAATAAAAGAAGGAGATGTTGGTAAAGAGCATAAGACAAAGAAGTTAAGGAAAAACAATGCTAACAGACTGCTGGTCAATTTGTTTGTGTTCTTTATTTAAGCTTAAATTCTAAGCTAAAAATTGTCACTCTGATTGACAACGCACTTTTACAAAGTAGAACTTACTAGTAAATAAAATAACGATGCAATCTATTTTTTTAATGCAGGAGGTTACAGAGGTGTTTTCTTATTTTGACAAAGATGGATCTGGTCAAATCAGCTTTGATGAGTTTCTTGTTGCTTTACGAGTATGTAACATGTTTTACTCGGATTTGTATTCATCACCATCACTACTTGTCTTCATAATAATAATAATAATAATAATAATTAATATTACAGTCGACTCCCGATAACTCGAACCTTGAAGGGAAATCGAAAAAGGTTCGACTTATCGGGAGTTCGAGTTATCGGGGGTTCCAAGAAAATAGCCGAGAGTAAGGTAAAAAACAGTTTTCACCCCGGGTCAGCTGTCATCAAAAAGTGGTCTCTTTCAAACTAGTTTTTTAATTTTTAACCGTTTGAGCTGAGACTTTGCACGATAATAGAACTTTGCATTCCCAACAATCGTATGTTTTTGGACTTTTTATTTCAACGGTTTTTGGCGCGAAAATGACGTCATAAGATTGACAGCAAAAAATAGTTTTCGACTTATGGCGTAAAAAACTGGAACTTTTAAAAGAACTTACAGAGATGAGCTCAAATGTGAAAAAAGTATTTGTAAAGCTTAATTGGTTGAAAAGTTATTGAGCCGTGAATTTCGTATTTTCCGCCATTTTGTTACTATTTTTAGAAATTTGATGATCTTTAGAATGTCATATCTTCTTAACCAAATGAGGTTTTCAAAAACTTTTTTCACATTCAGGTTCTTCTCTGAGTACTCTTTCAAACTTGCTAACCTGTTATGGCATAAGTTAAAACTTATATTTTGCTGCCAATCTTATGACGTCATTTTCGCGCCAAAAACCGTTAAAATCAAAAATCCAAAAACATACGATTGTTGGGAAAACAAAGTTCTATTATCGTGCAAAGTCTCAGCTCAAACCGTTAAAAATTGAAAAACTAGTTTGAAAGAGATCACTTTTTGATGACAGCTGACCCGGCGTGTTTTACTGCACAGTGAACATTTTAATCACATTTGATTGCAGAAATGTCAAGTGAAAATTAAGAGATACTTTTATATTATAAATCAGAAGGTAACGTAACAAAACATCGCCTAAATAGAGCAGGGGTTTTACTGCTTTGAGAAGAAAAGCTGCTTCACGTTAGCCTGTGACAATCAACATCAGCTTCCACTAGTAAACTATACTCCTACAACACGTCAATAGGAAATCTAAAATTCAATGTTTTGGATGCCGGTAGACGGCTTTTCCCCCGACTTTTTAAGGGCTCAAAACATGGTTCGAGTTATCGAGGGTAAAATTATATAGAAAATGACCCGAGGGGAAACGAAAATTAGTTCGAGTTAGCGGGATTTCGAGTTATCGAGGTTTCGAGTTACCGAGGGTAAAATTACAGTGAATGTATGAGGGAAATCCAGGGGAAATCGATTTTGGTTCGAGTTAGCGCGAGGTTCGAGTTAGCGAGGGTTCGAGTTATCGGGAGTCGACTGTATTATTATTATAATTATTATGATTATTACTATTATGAGTATTATTATTAATAATATTATTATTGCCAACGAGCAGGGCGGCAGCCAAATAGAGCAGTGGGCAGAAAAAATCTCGAATCGATGTAACATATAGTAATGTAAGGTACCTTTCATGACGTAATGCAGAACAAAAAATGCATCGTTTTCAATTTTCTTTTCAACCTGTTAATCTGCTCCTTTCTTTGAAGCTCTTGCTGACCATCGCTCTCATTACCGAGTGCCGTAATAGAGGCTTCTAATGATCAGCTTCTTTTAAGGGAGGTAGAGTGTTTTCACATGACGTCACGGCAGCCATGTTGTTGCCCCAAAACAATAGAGAGTCCTCACGCCACGTTGCCATGGTAGCAAGAGTTTTGGATGACGACAAACCAATAAAGTCATTTAAAAGTGTATTTGCACTATTTCAAGCTTCACCGATCTTATTCAATTTCGTTTGATTTGGCAAATCTTGGCGAAATTTTCTTTGGGACCGTATCTATCGCTATCTAAGTTTAGAAAAAGAAAGTGACAATTTTTGTGTTGTGTTCACCTACTCCATAAAGCAGGCTCGTGAAATTAGGAAGTTTCATGACGTAGTGGTGCAACGATGGCAAAGAAATGTAGAAAATAGCATGATTCGCGTACAAAGTTGTTGTTTGTAAATATAAACATCTTATTTTTCTGCCGTTCTTCTTGCCGTCGCCGTCGTCGTCGTCGTTGGTTTTGTTGTCATCCAGAAATAGTCCTACCATGGTAACGTGACGTCACACTTCTCCTCTCTATCCTGTGGGAGTTTAAAACTCTTTTCTTCTTTTTCCTATAAACTTGCACAGATGCTGGCAACATGAGTGAAAAGACTCTTAACCTGAGATCAGGCGTTATTTTTTTATAGACTTAAAGGGATAATAGGGAGAGGGCATGATCTCAGGCTAAAACATTCTATACATACATAATCATACTTTATTTTTTCCTCCCCAAGGAGGCTTTTCAGGAACAATCATTATTTAAGAGTATTACATTTAACTAAATACAACACTCAACTTTGTTCTAATTACAATGCTTTAAACCAGTTACAAATTACAATACTTTTTAAACTTAACTAAGATTACCAAAAATTTATGTGAAAGTTATCTAAAAGCCTGTTCCTTAACAGGCGTTTAAAAATCTGAACAGATTGGCTTAATTTAAGAGAAGGTTCCAAATTGTTCCAAAACTTAATAGTCTGTAATAAAAAGTTTACTGTTCGGAGGCTGTTCTGTTTATCTTCCGGCTACTCTGAGTTGTTCGTTTACTAAAACAAATGACTTGCTCACAGGGTGATAAATTGGGAAGTAAGATATTCAGGGGCTTTACCGGTCATGCATTTCTAACTCAAAGGGGCCCATGTGTCATGGCTTACCGGTTCATTTTGCTTATAATACTGATTATGAGTCCTTGTTCACTATGGAACTTACGAAATTACCTGTAAATAACAAAATCACAGCGTTTTGTCAAACAAACACATTTTAGTATGTCTTCTACGCATTATATAAAATGTTACAAAGAACAAAATTAAGGTTAAGGTAACAAGCTTTCAAAAACCACAGGGCTTCAAATCGGATTTTCAGGTGGTGGCCTGACATCACAAGCTTTAAATGCGTTATTTTATTTCAGGGAAACTTAGAAGGTCCTAGGTTGGCAGTAGTGAAAGAGGCATTTAAAAGAGCTGACAAGACAGGAGATGGTGTGGTAACCTTTGAAGATCTAAAAGGGTGAGTTGGTTTCAGAGTATCATAAATAAGCCTGTTGATTCAATATGTGCTTTTGACACCCCAAATTCTTCTCATTTCTCCAAACCCTGATATTTTTTACAACTTTTTCCAATTTCTTGTTGTGTATCCCTTATTATACATAAAGCAAGGAAAACGTTTTATATGGAATTCGTAGATGACAATAGCTGTGATCTTGGGAAGCTGTTTAGAGGAATGAAAGCACCGAAGGATAGTCTTTAGCGAGCTTACGCAAAGACGACGCTGACGTCAAAGAGGACGTCAAAAAATCAAAAGGTTTAGATTGACAAAACAACAACTTTGCACGTGCATCATGCTTTTTTGCACATTTCTTTGCCGTCGCTGCACGACTACGACGTGAAAACGCTTAATTTAGCGTTTTGTGGGGGACGTGAACGCAAGACAACGACTTTGTACTTCGTTTCCTACACTTCGATACTGTCTTTTAGAATTCAACTCCATAAAAAATTGCAACATTTGACGAACTGACTGAGATGGAATAAGCGCCATAAAGATTGAGGCAGCGCGTATTCACTTTTTAAGTTACGTTTTCGTTGCCGTCGCCGTCGCCGTCGTCGTTGCTTAAGCTCTCCCTTTTGTTTCCCTGACTACCGTGATAATCGCGCTCTAGCTGATGACATAGATGGATTCTTTCGTCGCAAGATCAATAATATCCGGAATCAAATTAGAATCGTCAGAGCCGCTATGAAAGAAGAGGACAAAGTTGAAGACGATTCTGTAGTAATGGAGAATCAGCGCATATATGAGTTTCGTAACTTCTCTTGAGAAGATGTCCGCAGCCTCGTCCAGAAGTCAGCTAAAAGACCTGCACCCTCGCCCCAATGCCGACATCTATGGTCATAGCCTGCCTAGAGGAGCTTCTTCCAGTAATAACGTGTATACTAAATTCCTCTTTGGGATCAGGTCATCTTCCCTCTCTATGGAAAGAAGCTCTTGTAGAACCACGCCTTAAAATATCTGGGAAAGACATCTCGTTTTCAAACCTACTACGAGTTACCTCCAGTTTATATCAAAACTTGCTAAGCGCGCGGTATTTAATCAGGTTCACGAGCATGTGATGAAGTTCCAGCTTTAAACATTATTACAATCTGCCTACCGCTCTGGTTACAGCACAGGTACCGCGCTGCTTAAGGTGCACATTGACATTCTGTTAAGCATGGATAAACAGAGGGTCACACTGCTGGTACTTCTCGACCTAAGTGCGTCCTTTGGTACTGTAAACCACCAGGTGTTGCTCAAGCGATTAGAATCTTGCTTTGGAATATCTGGGACTGCACTTCACTGGTTTAAATCATACCTCGATGGAAGATCTCAGCGCATCTGTGTTGGAGGTTGCTGCTCTAAGAAGTTTGGTCTACCCCATGGCGTCCCTCAAGGTGCATGCCTTGGTACCCTATCGTTTACAATTTACGCAAGCAAGTTATTTAAAATAGTCAAGGCTCACCTTCCGGATATGCATGCCTACGCAGTCGATTCTCAGCTCTACCTATCTTTTAAGCCGGGTTCTGAGGACAACCAGACTGAAGCCGTCGATGCTGCGCTGGAATGTATTTAAGAAATTAGGGCATAGATGGCGCGGACCAGCGAAAGCTTAATGAAGACAAAACCGAGGACATATTCTGCTGCTTGCACTGCATAAAGTCGCTGTGATCTCTTTCAAGGCTATTCGCAATCTGCGGCCTATATTGAACGATGTTCTGGCTATAACCTGGGGAGTAATGTGGGCGTCATTTTGTGTGACCCAACCGTTAAGTTCAAATGCACTCTTGGGGACAGATCATTTACTGCAGCTGCTCCAAAGATATGGAACGGTTTAGCGGGCTATATTAAGAAAGAGAATGATTTTGATAAGTTTAAGAGACTCATCAAGACGTACTATTTTAAAGAGGTCTATAGCGACCTGCCTTGAGTTATCGTAGGTTTATATTTTCAACTTTTATCTCCTATTTTTACTTCTTACTTGTTATCAGGCTAGGCTATTTTTCGTAGAAAAAAGGAAACCTAAAATTCTCGGATTCAAAATATGAGGGAGAGAGGAATCAAAAAGATTTTCTTTTTCGCAACGCGCTAAACTGCATTTAAAATTTTCGCGAAAATAATATTGAAGCCTTTGCAATTTTAAAAAAACGTATCAAGTTTTCCTAGGAAGACCAAACAAATGGAGATTTTATAGCGCCGCTTAGAATGCATTTGTAAAGGTCTCAAAGTACTCTGGATAGTCTAAAATAGTGTTTTTAACGCATTTGGGAGGAAACCGCCGTTGGGTGCCCCTGATTTTAGCCTGGGACCCGTCTCCGCAGTGGGGTCAAAAGGCAAAAAACGGGGTCAAACACGAAAAATATGGGCGAGCAAAGCGAGCCTAGCGGCCGCCCAGCGGTGGCCACCCTTTCTCCTCCCTAGATTACCTCTCGGTTCACTTCGCTCGCCTATTTTTTCCCCATTGGGGAGTCTGGTCCCGGGTTTAAATATGAATTCATAAATAGACTCCCCCTTCCAGGTTTTTTTTTTCAAGTTTTAGTAAATGAGCAGGAACAGAATATCCATCGACGCTAGTGAAAGAAGTGCCTTGAAATTAGGAACCTTACCAAGATTAAAAGTCAAACAAGTTAAGATATTGCCCCACAAAAAGTCGCAGAATTTTACAGTGTTTTACGGACGATTTTATGGTGGTGGTCTTTGCTGCGCTATATCTTTGTTAGTTGTCAACGGAACAAATGAAGTTCAAGCTTGGAATCTTTGCTAATTTGAAGGAATTCTTTCTCACTCTGGTTTGTTTTGATGGATATCAACTGGTCCAAGTCGAAAGTTGAAATAAAAAACGATGAAGGATCTATTTCACCATTTCTTGCAGAGTCTACAAGGTCACTGAGCACCCAAAATACAAAAATGGGGAATGGTCGGAAGATCGGGTGTTTAAAGAATTTTTAAACAGCTTTGAGCCAGACCCGTCAAGCCGAGACGGAAAGGTTAGTTGTCTTTATTGATAGTCATAAAAATGGATAGAAAAGGTGACATTTCCTGACAGGATTTGAACTCTACTGACTTTCTAGACACTGAGTTAGGGCCTCGAAACTAGACTCGTTATCCAAATTAAGCACTCTATGATTTTAATTAGGATGATTTTGGCAAGTTTACTGATTTGTCCAGCGGTTTCATCATAACTGTCGAACTGAATTTCAACTGGTTAGCTCAATCTACTGAACAGGAGGTCGCGGATTCAAACCTTTGCCGGACCAACACTCAGGGTCTTAAAATAACTCAGGAGAAAGTGCTGCTTTTGCAATAATGACATCTGAAAACCATTAGACTTTCTAGTCTTTTCGGATAAGGACGAAAAACCGTAGGTCCTGTCTGGCGGCACCTTAACTTGTTTGGTTCTTGCGGGACGTAAAGAACCTCAACCACTTTTCGAAAAGATTATAGGGGACGTATACTCCGTTGGTGTGGTATCCTGGACTGGGCGGGATATCTGTAAGGACACACCTAATTAAAATAATTGGAGCCCTGCTAACTGTTGTGTGTTCTGCACCATGTGGTGGACGTGATTAGATAATAAATGGAAGAGCTAGTAATAACCAAAGGTTACGGAATGCGAGCGACAACGATCGGAGCTCCAAACGCTTTTGTTCCAACACTGTGCTTTGCGTAACGGGTCAGATGGACAAAATAAAACACTCGTGATCAGTACGAGGGGAGGAAGGTCGAAATGCGCGTGATCAAATTGCGTTTTCTCGTAGTGTGAAGTACAAACGAATACTGGCTACATACATGACGCATGCGAAATGACAACCTGGAGATTAGGATTGCGGGCTCCTCTTGTCGCCCTCACTGAGTCGTAACAATCTCATTGCATCATTCTTGTTGCCCTAAGTTTCGCACATTGTGATGTGTACAAACAGTTTCAATTAGTCCTTTATCTCACAACTATTAATTTACGTAATAAAAGGGCCTGAAATCATAAGCGAAACGTGCATTACATTTACAATTCCTATTTATATTCACGACTAAGAGACAGCAACGGGTGTGCAGCTCGAACTGTGAGCCTGAGTGTTTATTGCCGTCCGAATAGCTTACAAAGTTAAACATCGTAACTAAAGAATGATATACAAACACTCCTACATAAAGTCACTCAGGTTAAACTAGACACATGCGCAGCCTGAAACGAAAACGCGATAAGAACCCAATGGGAAAAATTGGGAACGTATTCTCCACTGCATGACCAATGCAGTCGCACAACCTCTGGGGGTTAAAGATAAAAAGGTCAATAGATAGATATGTAAAGTAGGATGTAAAAATAATATAAAAATTGAAAGTTTGAGAACTGAGATAAATAAGTTACACATGACTGTCTACGGCTCACGTGCGTTCATACCAACGGCAAAGTATTTACATTCCCTATCACTGCCACTAAGTTTTAGGGTCCCGAAGGGGGGGAATTGGGAGGAGCCCGGGAGCGGATCAAGCTCTCTGGGGCGCTCTGCCGGGGAGCGGGAAACATTCAGGGATAATTTTTTTTCCCGCCCCGCCGCCACAGAACCTGGAGAGCTTTCTCTCAGGCTAGCTCCGCCGAATGTAAATACATTATTTTTAACCTCTAGTTATATTGTTCTTTTGTATTGATTTTTAGGTCACAGAGAGAGAATTCTTGGATTACTATGCTGCGATTGGGGCAAGCATTGGTAACGACGCTTACTTTGAACTCATGATGAGAAATGCATGGAAGATGTAAACATCAGTATACGTAAAGCTCTTTCTTTGAGGGAGTGTCGGTCTAGTTTGATCAATTTTCTAATGCCTCACTTACTTAATTATTGCTACAAAATTTTAGGAAGACCCCTTAAATTGCATAAAATAAAATACCTTTCCTTTCTCCAGTTATCGCAAGGCTTGTTTTAGTTAAGAACGATTCCTCCTAAGAAGTACCTTAACTCCCTGAAGCATGGAAATAGACCTCTTCAGCTTGTAGGCACCAACTGATAATAGACCAATTTCACTGTTACCTACCTTGTCAAAGATAATTGAGAGACTTGCATGACTTTTCATCAAGATTTATCAAAATGTCAGTTCATTAAAGTGGCCATAAGAAACGCCACTCAACAGAAACTGCTCTTATATATGTCACTGATCAATTTTTGAAAGCAATTGGCAAACTGTATCACTGTTAGTATTAGACACTTAATAACTGGTCCCGAGGTAAACAGTTAATTTTGTTCCCTTGAGTGATTTATTTTATAGCTTGAAATTTTGAAGCTGGAAATTTATTAAACCTCGCTGTAAAGTGGGTTGTCAACATTCGCGGGTGCACTGTTACCCTCTGACTTCATAGATTTTGCAATGTTGCCCGCTCAGAGATTTTGGCGGAAAACACTTTCATGGTTAGTTGTCATGCGACCTGGAAGTAACCAAAGAGAGCGCGCGCCATTGGGAAGAAATTTCCAGCTACAGTAAAACCTCTATTAAGCGGACACCTTCGGGACCTTCCCAAGAGTCCGCTCAATAGAGGTTTGTAAAAATTGCTCAATGTTTGTTAACGATTAACATTCAGCGGTTGCTCTGTACTGTGATAAAGTTCCATGTTGTTAAGGAAGCTATTAGGAAACTGTACTGCATTTTGCGAAAGACTTTTAGGTGAGCTTTGA